CTCAAGAGGTAGCCAGATGGCTGGGGAAAAAAATCCTGCATCCAAATTCCTGCAAGTGGATTCTCCCCTAGCCCCTCCTCAGTTGGGCCAGATGAATCAGAAGTTATTTTACCTTTGGCAGAACATATAAGGCAGAACGTATAACACAACGAGAATGCAGGCTTTCTGAACCTGGATTACATTGGCAGAGATCTCAGATATGAAGTTTGCACAGTTTATCCAAGTGGGGTGACTGTTTTCCTTAAGTATCCAAATATGCTTTACCTTTTGACATTAGACAAAATTGCCATTCCATCCAGAAGAGGTAAATAATAGTTCTCAGACCTTTCAGTGTCTCCCCATCTCCATTGTCTGAAAACTTTGTGTTCATGTCCTCTGCTAGTAAATGTCCACTGGCTTTCTTCCATCATATCACTAGAAACCTAGAACATTCATTAGACCTTGCAAATCTGGAGGTATTCCTAGTTGAATTTCACTCTCCCCACCCGCCCAACATCATAAATCTAAAGGTTACCAAAAAAAATTGTGGGAGCAAAGCTTTGGATCCTTTGCCATGCGTGCTGGCTATTTCCCTGGTTTATTTTATCCAGATGTTTGGGTGTTCAATAATTGAGGAGCTGCTAGAAGAACTAGACATCAAGGCAAAGACATGGAACTAGCAGGGGAGTAGAACTGCCATTAGGTAGAGCCTACTGGATGAGAAATTAGAATAAGGAGTCAGTTCCTTCTATGTCAGAGTAGGTTAAACAATGAATGCATTTGGCCTGTTGAAACACATCACTTGTTAACTTCGAGGCGTCCAGAATCATCTACGTAGAAATTAGTATTATTCCATGGATTTGCTCTGTGCTGCCGAATGCCACTGTTCCTGGATTCTAGTCAAACTGTTACTTCATCACGGCACCTTTACTAGCAAACACTGCACTGCTTCTTTTTTAAAAACAATGCTTTGATTATATGTATCCTGACATATATAACAGGCTTGGGAAAAGAGTGGGGGAAGCTGCACCCATAAATATCAAGGTTGCCTTCCTCTCCAGATGACCCACACTGTTTGGGTGTAGCTAAAACTCTAAACACAGAGACTCTAGCTAGACCTCCAACAAGAGTATGATTGCCCGTTTTGGACTGATTTAGTTTTCAATGCATAGAGGTGTGACATGTGAAGACAAGACACAAAGATTTTCATCATTGCTTTTTATGTTTCACTTTATTGTTCTTTTAATTTAGTAGTTGTCTACTCACTGTTGCTAGCTTTAAATTCTGTCTTTTAATGAGGTGAGCTGTCTTCGGTCCTTTTTAAGGACAAAAGTGGGGCAAATATATATTATAATTTTTTAAAATAAATAAAATAAATAATAGATCATTTAATATTTCATAGTTTTACACTGGGTTTTAATGATTTATTTTTACTTACTATAGAGCCCTTCAAGATATTTATTAGCTATAGGAAGCAGTTCTGAAATTTTACAGAAACAGAAATTTTACACTAATAATGTAAAATTGATTAAAAAGGAAGTTGATTAAATAAGGACCTCAATTAATTAAATAATAAAGAAATTGATTTATAAAGGACTGAAAGATGACTCAAGCATCAGAGAGAATACCATCCTGCAAGATTTATCTGTCTGATTCAGATTATGAAATCCCTATTTTGGCTAGTATGGTATTAAATACTACAATCTGAATCTGTCTGTTAGTCTAGCACCAAATAGATCTGTCAAGAAGTGGAATTTTGAATATACAGAGTACTAAAATAATTAAGGTGGGGTGTAGAAATGCAAGTTAACAGGGCATTTGAAAAGTGAGGCTTGAATAGCAGTTTACTAAAAGTCACTGCAAAACAAATTAGATAGCCCTCTAAGCTGAGTCTGGAAGCAAGTACAATAACACTGCCTTGCAAAAGAATTTCTTTCAGTCCTGACATTCCAGAGTGAAAGTAAGCAACTAAGAACAAAAAGTAGTCCTTGAGCAAGTGAGCCCATCAGCATAGTACCTTGTCTACCCAGTAAATTAGAATCCAAGTAGCTAACACCCAGTGCAACTTGCTTCTCTGGTAGATGAACTCATCTGTTAGTCAAAACAAAGGCTCTGCTATCATAGCAAGCATGCCAGACTTATGCTTTAGAGAAATTGTAAAAGCAATAGAAATTTCCATTAATTTTCTGACTGTAAATGAATCACTTGCATGTTATTTCATTGACAAAAGCCAGTTGTTTACAGTTGAAGGGATATTTAAATATAGGGTGGCAAGAGACACATACATGCAACTCCACACAGACCACAATAAAATCACTGGATATCAGGGAGTGTTAGGCATCATGTAGCAGCAGCAACAGCCGCAAATGAGGACAACATGAATTTTCTTCCATAGATTCCAAGTGGATTGACTGGCTGAGCACTGATCATAACATACACTATTCTAAAGGCTGCTTAAAGTTATAAGGCTTTTGTCATTAGGTAAGGCATTTGATATGTTTTAGAGATGCATTATCTGCTTTTAAATGTGCCTTTTTAGGCTAAAAGCTCTTATATTTTTAGAATGTAATTAAAACATTTCTTTTTGAGTTTTATTTTACTTTTTATACTCCTATATTTTGAAATCTCACTTAAGTATTTGCCTGCAACTTAAGTTTAGTATAGTTCATATATTTTTAAAGTATATGTCGCCACAGTTTTTCATAGCTGCAAGACTTTCGGATGTTTTCAACATTTTTGTGCGTATGGGATATAGAAGCAATGTAGATAAATAGCATTTTTGTGCATATGGGATATAGAAGCAATGTAGATAAATAAAGCTTATATAATTAGATAAGTTGGTGTTGCCTGGAATCATTACAACAATGACAAGAATTATTCCTTGATTCCCAGATGAGTTTTGGATATGACTGGAAATGGTTTTCTGATTTCATTCTGGAATTATCCCTAAATGGGATAAATGCCAGCTGCGACAAGCACAGGTTTCAGATTTTATCCCAGAGGTCTATACATTTCTACAGGGCTCTTAGGAGGATGTTCAAGTGTCAGGCTTATTGAAACTATAAGAACTGCCAACTAGTAAACATTTAGTAATTGATTCAATGTGTCTACTCTAGTTGGCACCAGCAGCTGGAGTTAGGCACAAAGGTTTCTCCTTCCTTTACATGTATAACAGAGCTATACTTCCACGTGAGGTTCAATTCACTGCAGCCTTCTGCTACAGCCTTCATCACCAGCCACTCACTTGAAGAATCCCAACTTGGAGTCTACCTTCTTTTGGTCTAGTTTAAAGGCCAGAATCCCCACGTCGAAGCGACGTGGTGGCGCTGCGGGCTAAACAGAATTATTCCTTGATTCCCAGATGAGTTTTGGATATGACTGGAAATGGTTTTCTGATTTCATTCTGGAATTATCCCTAAATGGGATAAATGCCAGCTGCGACAAGCACAGGTTTCAGATTTTATCCCAGAGGTCTATACATTTCTACAGGGCTCTTAGGAGGATGTTCAAGTGTCAGGCTTATTGAAACTATAAGAACTGCCAACTAGTAAACATTTAGTAATTGATTCAATGTGTCTACTCTAGTTGGCACCAGCAGCTGGAGTTAGGCACAAAGGTTTCTCCTTCCTTTACATGTATAACAGAGCTATACTTCCACGTGAGGTTCAATTCACTGCAGCCTTCTGCTACAGCCTTCATCACCAGCCACTCACTTGAAGAATCCCAACTTGGAGTCTACCTTCTTTTGGTCTAGTTTAAAGGCCAGAATCCCCACTATGCTTTTAAATGTACAGAAATGTACAAGCAGAAAGAAGACATAGACAATATGGCTCTTTTCACCTGCCCACTCGGTAAAGTATGTAGAAGATTCATATGGTATTCCAGTTTCTGCAATAAACCTAGGATAATGAGGGTGATCAAAATACGACTGTAGTTGCCTATGTGAAAGACAGAGGTCTCAAAGGTGTCTTTAAGTCTAAAATGACAAGTAGAAAAGGTATGGGCAAATGTTTCATCTCCAGATGTTTTTGAATGGTTACTGTCATCAGCCCTAGTGAGCATTGCCAATGGTGAATGATCACAGGAGTTCTCTTTGCAAAACCATCTAGGAGGGCACTTTTGCTTACCATGGAAGGAATATTTTTGTTCTATTAATATAAGAAGCTTTTACCAAAGTAGTAATTTGGCCTGCCTTGCTCAGCACTGCACCTGGATTGACCTGCAGTGGTTTTTCAAATCGGTCTTGTGATGTTGTCGGAGATATGAGTAGAGATCTTTGCATTCAAGATGTCTACCTCTGGGAAACATGCTCTCTTGCTTCAGATGATGAAATCAGATGATTTCAAAAAGATGAGAGGAAAGCAATATTGCTGTAACCCATGAACGGCCATGGTGGATAGACTTCTAGGAAGTGGAGTCCAAAATGTGTAGACGGGGCAGGTGGCCACCAAAATTAAGATATGATTGTTACTAACTGTTGACACACCCATCCTCTATCTTTTCATCTACTCCTTTTAAAAAGCCATCTACCAGTGAATAAATCTTAAAAATAAGCCCCATAGAGTTGAACAAGCTTATTCTCAAGTCAGTGGTACAGACATGGGTGGAAGGATATCACAAACTCTGTGTCTTGCATTTGAGTGGGCGGGGGGACCCGTGTCTTCTCATCTTTGTTAGTCTTACATATATTAAGTAACAACTCTGTTCTATCTAGTTTCCCTTCTGATCTACATTAAAACAAACAAAACATATTCCCTAAAAAAAGAAACATTTTTGTATACAACTTTCCCAGACATACACATTTCTGATCACCCTATTTCACTGAATATTTGCATATATTTTACTACATACTTTCCTCTAATACTTGACCTGAAAGAAAAATGTACTGTCTGAAGGATAACTTGTGTTCCAATCAGCCTATTTGTCCAAAAAGTGCTAACTCAGTTGGTTCACTTAAAATACAGATTAATCTAAATATTCCCATTTCCAGTCCAATTTGGGGTAAAGATTATGCAAATTACCTCTGCATGCTTCATTAGGGGCAATGACCAAATCAAGGCAGATTTTTAGAGGGCTGCAGATCTTTCTGCAAAGGGAAAGGATACTCACATTGAAGTACTGTATATTTAAACTCCTTTTATCTTATAAATTCCTGTTCTATTTTTATCCAGCAGTTTGGAACAGGTGTTTTCAAAAGAGGCTTTTAAAAAATTACTAAAGGAGGTTTCATAAGTATTTTTTTTAAAAAAAAATCCATCGACACATTGGGCATAAATCACTCCAAATTGCTACTTTGATAAATGTGGACAAAAGAGTAAAATTTGTCAACCACCTAATATTACCATCAATGTTGTGTCTAGCTACATTCCCTCCAATTTAAAAACAGTTCAATACCTCTTTTACCTTCAAGTAGCAGCACTTAATAAACAGTGATGGATGTTTTTTTTTTCAACCCTCCCCCCACCCCCACCATCGCCCTGTGTTCCAGACTTCTCTATCTGTGTTACAAGGGGATTGTTTAGCTTCGAGGAAATGTAGATCTTCCATCTTTCTTCCATTGACATGGATCCCTCAAGGAATGACGGCCATATTTAATTCATAATCCCCGTTGGCTACACAAACATACAACTTCCCATCAATTAGGCAACACAGAGATGCTGTTAAAAATCAATGAGCTTATTATTAAATATATTTTCTTTTCATGTAACAATCAGAGTTATCGGTGTGGCTGTGCTGTCAGTGATTTAAATACATTTAAAAGGCAGCAGATTTGCTGTATGAGAGGGAACATGTTACATACACACAAACGCATGCACAATTTGCTAAGCTACCCCAAACTGTAGAAGAGCCATTACACATCAGATCTTTTTTAAAAATCTGGCCTGTGTATATTTGTGTTCTCCTTGTGCTGTGTTTATTAGAGATTATTTGGATATTTTGACACATGCCACTACAGGGGTAGCTCCTTGCCGACAAACACAGATGTTAAATTGGTGCCAGCTTATTCAAAGGTTAATTTAAACACACACACACACACACAAGCAGCTCAGATTTTGGCAAGGGTCTCCTCTGGTGTCTGGCCACAGCTGATCTGAAGCGAGTCCCCTGTAATTATGGAAGAAGGAGGAACAGGTTTCCAGCTAATTGGAAAATTCTGCAAATGGTACCCCTGAAGTAAATTGACAGTCGTTAGAATATTAGCAAAATGAAAGAACTGATTAGAAAAGCCTCAGATGCGAACTATTAGAGAATAAACACACAGCTTGACTTTATCAAGTATGATGCAAAATAAAACTTGGTGGCAGTTGGAACTTACACTAAGGTGTATGATAGATCGGGCTGATGCTACCTTTGGTTAATTAAAAAGTCTCACCACCTTTTTACTGCTCCTAGAAAAAAAATAATATATGGCAGAGTGAAAAGTCTCACTCCCGTCATGTAGGAGAGTTAAATGAGGACAATGTCATTCCATAGCATCACCTGAGCAATAGGTAGGAAATTAAATTTTTCTCTCTCTCCCCGTACACACAACACAACAAGCTCTGGTCTCAACTAGAGGAGACCCATTGCAACAACTGGTGCATCATAAATTAACCTTTACAAAAATTCCAGTTTATTCAGTTGGCCTGTTCCAGTTGACAAAGAACTTTGTGCGGTGGAGTGGAGCTAGGACTCAGGAGGCCTGAGTTTGAATCCTCGCTCAGCCATGAAAACTCACCGGGGGTGGGCGGGACTGGTAAAGCTACTCCTTAAATATTTGATTTACTTTGGAAGCCCTATTAGGGTCACAGTAAGTTGGTTTTGGCCTTACTGTGCAGAGCAACAACAACAATTCTGGTTGACACTACGACTTGGATTCATGTTCCGATTTCAAATATGTCAGGCAAAACCAAATAAAAATGAAAAAAAAAAGATGACAAAAATGTTGTGGCATCTTAAAGACTAACTCTTGTATTTCAATGTGAGCTTTTGTGGACAAGTCCACTTGTTCAGACAGAAGATGACCATCAGGAAGCGCTGGGTTATACAATGTCTGCAATGGAACTGGTTCACACAAGTATCCTAAACCAGGGGTCCCCAACCCCTGATCCGTGACCCACAGCGATCCACGGCTTAGGCAGGACTGGGCTATGGACACACATCTCCAGCCCCCCCATGAGTGCTCCCCCCATGAGCGCACCCCATGCATGTGCGCAAGTGCACTCCGCCCCCTACAAGCTCACCGCATGCATGTGCATGAGCCCAACACACCCCCTGCGAGCGCGACATGCCCCCCACGAGTATGACACCCCCCACGTGAGCTTGCCACACACCCCAAACTGGTCCACGGTTGGGAAAAGGTTGGGGACCACTGTCCTAAACAAAACAATTTCCATTGAATTCTGACTAAGTGGGAATCAAGGGTTCCCAAACAGAAGGAACAATAATGCAACAGCACCACAGAGAGATCTGAGTAGCTATGGGACTTTTTTTGCTGTTTGTATATACCTGACCTCTCCATCCAGTCGATCTTATTGTTTGGCATCTGTTATCTATTTATTTTATGAATTTATGGGAAAGTGTGAGGGCAAGAGGAGAAGGGGACGACAGAGGATGAGATGTTTGGACGGTGTCATCGAAGCGACCAACATGAATTTGACCCAACTCCGGGAGGCAGCGGAAGACATCAATCAATCAATCAATCAATCAATCAATCAATCAATCAATCAATCAACCAACCAACCAACCAACCAACCAACCAACCAACCAACCAATCAATCTGTTTGTTTGTTTGTTTATTTCCTTCCTTCCTTTCTTCCTTCCTTCCTTCCCAAAAGGGACCCCAGGAGGATCACATCTTTAAAAAGACAATAGTCAAAATCTAAAAGAAAATACAAATATTGAAAAAGAATTAAACAAGTATTATATTGAAAATGATAAATAAATTCCATATTAAAACACATTTAAAACAACAGAGGACAACAATCCAGACCACCAGTCATTAAGGAAAAAAATCTGCCTGAAGAGAAATAATTTCATTCATTCATTCATTCATTCATTCATTCATTCATTCATTCATTCATTCATTCATTCATTCATTCATTCATTCATTCATTCATATTATAAGTTTTTTCTCCTTATAAGGGAAAGCAAGGTTGCTCACAGTATTAAAAAAATACAATATAAATCAAATAGATTTAAATCATGATTTCGATCACTGTAGGGTGGATAAAAATCAATGATTTTTTTAAAATTTAAAACATTAATTTGGATTTTTCTTTTCTTTTCAAAAACCGTTATTTGTCCATGCAGATCCATGGTGTCAGTATTCTTATACTAGGGTGAATGATGGAAAAGGCACTCTTTGACACATACAGTAACAAGCCACAAATTGAACTGGATGGAGTATAAATTGCTCTGGTCTAAACTGAGATACATTCCAAAGCTGTAGGGTTTGGCCTTCAAATCTGCCTGCAGGACCTGTGCAGGAGGTAGCTTCTTACTATGCCCATGACCTTTGACTTATTCTCTGATGGCAGTACTGGGAAAGAGAAGGAAATTGGGAGGAAAACACTTTATAATGAAATTAGAAAAAGGCTGTGCAGTTCTTAAGATTACATAATTGTTAAGACTGAGTGATACCTTTTATTGGAACACTAAAAAAATCAAACAAATTGCACATGGAACAAAATTGCAGGCTTTCACCGAGAAGACACCACTTCATCAGGCTGAGCACCTCCATGGTGGCGATGCTTAGCCTGATGAAGTGGAATCTTCTCCACAAAAGCTTGCTTTGTTTGATTTTTTTTCTCCAGCATCCAATGAAAGCTATGACAATGAGTGTCTTCCATTATTTTCACTTTGATTGGTACATTCAGTTTGGCTCAAAGAGAGAAACTTCCCTGATCCAAGAAACAATTACACTTTTGAACAGTTAGTCAAGGAGTTGAGGAAAGAGGGAGGGGACCCTTGGTTCAAATCTGAACTGTGGCCAGGATCTGATCAGAGATGTAAGTGGTGCTGAACCATTAGGGAATAGCAACCCAAACACGACCATATATGCAACTGGAAAATTGCCCAGAAAGTCTAACACAGTTGCATTTCATTTCAGATGAGGGAATATTTTTTAAATGAGGGGATTTCTTAAGAGGAAGCTGAAAGGCAGAGTCAGGAGTTTTAAATCCCATCAGGAAGTTTGAAAGCTATTGAAAACCACAGTGACCAAGGTTAAGATCAAATACAGTTTAAAGAAGGTATGAACGAGTCTGAGAAGATGCCAGCACAGTTAGATAACCGTGTTGTGGAAAGACAAAAATGCTTTATTTTAAAAAGTGACAATCCTGTTCAAACATGGAAACTAAAATGGAGCATAATTCATGGCCAAACAAATGCAGGTTGATGTTTTGTCTAAGAAAGGACTAATGGAACAAATTGTTGAAGTCATAAATGAAAGACCTGTTGAAAATCAGCAGAAAACTAGCCTGGGTTATGTTAAGACTATTAGATTGCAATCCTATGTGATTGAAGTCAATGGGATACATACTTCTGAGTAGACAGGTATGGAATTGTGCTAAGAGAGAGTGACAGCAAAGGAGGAACTCTTTCATCACCAAAAATCTCCCTCTGCTGGTGACATCATTACCCTTCTGTAGACATACTGTAGCTACACCAACAGGATTTCAGTGACTGAGTTCAGTAAAGTTTACTCCAAAGTACGAGTATAAAGAATTGGCAATATGCGTGTAAAAGGAGGGCAAGCTAAAAAAGGCTAACCAGTTGGGGAAAACCTAAACAATGCATTTGCTTCCATATTTACATGAGAAAACTGGAAATGAGACATTGCATTTGAATCACTGCTTTCCAAGAAGCTATCTGGAAAGCTACATCAGATAGAAGTGACAAAGAATAAAATATTGCAGGTAGTTGACAAACTGCAAATTGATGACTTGCCAAGGCCAGGAGGCGTCCACCTGAGAGTACTTAAAGAAATTGCATGTAAAATTGCTGATCATTTAAGAACAATATGCAATTTATCTTTAAATATAGCCTTTTTGCATAGAACTGGAGGTCAGCCAATGTAATGTCAAGA